AATTACATGTTATTCTTAATATTTATGTTATCTATTAATTCACTTTCTTGTTAGTTATTTATCACAATGTTTGTAGGTCCTCATTCAAGATTACGGGAGGATGAGTTAGTGGAACTAACTTGTTTTCTGCAAAGATACACATGCATTTGGAAATCATGGATTTTTTTTATATACCCTTTAACTTGTTTATAACCCTTAATGTAGGACTTATTCTTCAATTCCCTTCTAAAAATTTGAATTAATGAAATTATGTACCAAATGAAGTATTTTAATTTTTCTTATAATAATCGTTTCTTTAAATATTATATAGTAGCCTCAAGTGGTAGACGGAAATACATAATCTTTCCAATTGAAAAATATGGAAGGTGACATAATTGCATCATGGGATAAAAATATTGGATTTAAAAAAAACAAAAAAGAATGCAATTAAAATACGATATATTATAATAAAATAAAATTCACATTATGCAGATAAATGGACTTGGCACCTGCATAATTGGATCTAGCAGAAGAACTTTAGCAAGAATTAAGATGATAACTAGATTCTTTAAACCGTGTTTATCTTAAAAGAATCTTCAGATTTAGATGACTAGGACAGGAAAAGTTGAATTTTAAAATGTATCTAGATAAAACGTAAAAAAGGTTTGTTGCCTACTAAATAAGCATGATCGAGTATCAAATATTCACAAACTAAACTATTAATTAAAATTTTTAGTGGACATGATCCAGTATTACTCAATGAATTAATATTGGAGTGTGTACATATAAATGCAAATTTATGGCCAGTATCATTACTCGAGTTATTTTGTTTATACATTTACTCAAGTTATTTAAATAAACTGATTAAGTGTCTAATTAAAGTTATTCCGGTGCTCTATAGAATAAGATCAATAAATAAAAAGATAGTGAGTTCAATGAGGTTAATGGCATCATAAATAAATAAAAAAGAGTTCATGACTAGAACCCAGCAAAAAATAATATTGGATTGAGATTTTATATAATTTTTTTAAAGTATAAAAAAGTCTTATAAATTTTAAAATACTTTGTAAAAATATAATAATTTTAAAGATTTTTTTAAAAGAATTTTTAATCAAATTTTTTTAATATAAATCTTAATAGGTTTGTATATTACAAATTTATAAGATTTTAAAGGACAATATGAGTTTTTAAAAAATGATACAATTTCTCTAAATACATAAATAACAAGTTTAAATAAGAAAAATAAAATAAATAAATTTTTCAATCTTTTAATAAATACTTTATTCTAGTTTCATATTCTCTTAGTAATAACATTTCTCTACATATAGTTTTTTATGTATTTATATTTTCTTATTAGTACTATTAAATTTGAATAATATGTTCAAATTTATGATATTTATTAATGGATATAATTGTTAAAATATATTTTTAATATATGTTTAAAAAATGATATTTAGTATTAAATTTTATTAAAAATAAACCTTTTTTAAATTTAAATTATTTTAAAATTTAACAATATATATTATTTAATAATTCAAAAATAATTTTAAATATTTAATAATTAAAAAAATATTCATAATGATACATCGATTGATAGATAAAAGGTTAACCAAAAATATTGATAGATATAAAAGGTAGGAGAAAAAATAGAGAGAAAAAGAAATAAATGATAATGATAGAGATGAACACAAAGAAAATAAATATGAGATAGAGAAGACATGAGAAGAGAGAAAGAGAAAGAGAAAAAGAAATAGAGAGAAGAAGAAGAAGAGATAGGGAAGAGACAAGGAGAGTGAGAGAGAGGGAAAAAAGATTGAGAAGCAAAAAAGGTGAGAAAGAAAAAAAATAAATGAGAAAATAGTTATATGAAGTCTCAATAGTTTTTGTGAGATTGTTGTTGAGTGAGTGAATTATATATGAAAAAAAAGTCTCACAAAATCTATCTATTAAAGTAATTCATTAAAATCTTTATACTTTTGAATATCAACAAACATTTTTAAGTAAAAAAAAGAATCTTACTTAATATCACTAGATTTTAATGTATTCTTAAAAAATCTTAATTATTTTAATTGAATACTATTATATTTTAATGTAGCCTAAAAATATTATATTTATGTTTAAAAAAAATATAATTCTCTTTTTGATAAATATAAATATTACATTTATGTTTAAAAGAATATAATTCTGTAAATTTAAATAAAATGAAGAGTGGTTAATGAGATATAAAATAGGGGAGGAAGAGATGAAAGAAGAAGAATATATAAAAATAATAATTTTTCAAGTAAAATTTGTTTAAAAGAAAATAAATCAAATGAATATTTAGAACTTTTTGTATTTGAGAAATAAAAGATTAAGGAGACATGTTTATATATATATATATATTTGTCAAATAAGTTAAAAACTTTTAAAATAAACTATCACATCAAATAAATCTATTTCATCAAATACTTGACAAACATACTTTACCAAAATAAAATAGAAGTTAGACAAGTAATATTTTTGTATCTTAGAAAATGGTTTATTTTTTTTCACATAATTATTCTTAAACGATTTTTCTTAAGATGATGGATCAAATAAATATAATTATTTTAATTTTTATTCCGATAGTAGTATGTACATAAATTTATATTTAAAATCTATGACGTCATTGTATAAAATTAAAAAAAATAAAATAAAAAAACTTATCGCAGGCGTTTGACGTGTTGAGATTCATGAAGCTAGTTGGGTTGCTTGCAAACAAGGCAATGAACTTGTAATTACTAATTACTAATTACTAATTACTAATTACTAATTACTAATTACCTAACTTATCTTAACCTGCACTTAATTAGCCTTCCAACTTCTGTAACAGCCACCTCCTTCACAATCTACTTCATGTCTCTTTCCTTCATACCCTCTCTCCTATTTATTTTATTGCCTCTCCGTGTGTAACCAAGACACTAAATAATAATAAATTAATCAAATTATGTATTATAAAAACACACGTTATTCTTTTGTGTGCCTATAGATAAAAAGAAAGTTTTAGATAATACAAGTTTATTAAATTATTCTTAGAATAATAAATTTGAACTTAATTCAACTTTACAAAATTCATTTATAAAAAGAGAATTATTTTTTATTTATATATTTTTAATTATTTTATTTTTAATCGATAAAAGAATTAAATTTTTTTAATATATTCTCTCACTCTGCGTTCCGAGAAGGAAATTTCTATGCAAAGATAATAATTAACATGAAAGTCATCATTACCACAAACCCATTAACCCTCCAACACAAATCCCACATCCACAACCAATAACACATTACTACCAATGGAGTACAAGCCCTCGAATGTCGTTGCCTTGTGGTTGGACAATATGTTACATGTTTAAAATTAAATCCATGTAAAAAATTGTTTTTATATCATTTCAAATTAAAATCAATATAAAATGGGTGTCTACGTACCATCACATATTTTAGAAACCAAGTTACTTTAAATTTCACAATATAATCCCCAACTATCATAAACTTAAAAAAATTTATTAAAAAAAAGTATAGTCGAAGAGATTTAGCTCAAGCAATATATCAATATACGATTCATTCTATAGGCTATAGCCATAGTACCTAATAACCAAATTAATCAAATAGTTATGTACTCCCCTATAATCTTACTAGCATGATATATAATCCAAAAGTAGTGGCTAAAGACTCTAGGTGGGTACAGTGAGATATTTCTTTCATTGATAATAACATGTGTCATTCTCATTAACAGGTATAACCAGAATCCTTTTATTAAGCAGTTAAGTTGATCATGAAACCCCCTTTTAGTTTTTCTCCTTTTACCAAATTGGTTCTTTTTGCATCCTACTCAATAATATATATGTAGACCCGGGAAATTAAAGGCCATGAAACTATGGACCTTATTCCTCAACATTAACTCGAACTTGCATAAAAATCTGCGTTGTAAAAGAAAGAATAGGAGGGATATCTTAATTATGAGTTCATTTCGTTGAAGGTTCTTAAAAGTGAGTGAGAGAAAAATTGAGCATTAACTAACTTCATTGTGTTCCAAATGATAATAATATTCGTGAAGAACGGAATTATTTAAAAGGATGTTGTTTTGTCAATATGTCTCCATTCTCGTGAAGGTAGATATATAGATAGGAGGAGGGTCACGAGTGCTGCACTTCGATTCAACATAGTGGATTCTACGTAGGACAAATAGAATTCTATATTGGCAACTAAGTAAATAAATAAAAGACAATTTTTATATAATTTATAGCTGTATAATTTTCTCTCTTTTTCTTTAACAATTTATATACTATTTCAATAAAACGTACCCCATTCTTTTAATTTGGAAAACCCACAGTGTTATTTTTATTTCATCTCTTAGAGAGCAGTATGTGAACTTAATCATGTGTGGATAATATTAATATTCTTTTCTTCCAATCAGCAAAATAGTTTATTGATCATAATAGAAGTCAACTGTACTCACAAGAAGTGCCATATACATAGATTAGCAATAGAAAGTCTGAACATAAGAAAATGCATGCCTCTAGGCAAGTCCCAATTAAGATTGTTTTTTTTTTTCTTGTACAAATGTATCTTTTTACGAAAGATAATTATGTTCAAGTGAGATAGAAGTATTATATAATTCAGATTTTCTCTTTTATAACATCACTAATTAAGATAAAACGATCATGTACTAATTGGTGAATGCCATCCATGGTAAATTCCATTAGCATTAATGTTCCTAGTTCCACTCATGGCACCAAAATGCGGGCCAGCACTTGAAATGACAAAAATACTCTCTGTATGATGTGTTTTTGTTTGGTCAATTTCGTCAAATTCTGTCTTCATGATGCCAAGCAATAGTGCATGTTGACATTTGACAAGGAATGAGAAGCTGATGAATATGAATGAATGAAATAGTGCATAGTAATTTGTTATATAGTATTTAATAAGTGGCGTGCAAGAATTGATAATCTATTGGACCCCCATGGATGGAATTGGCCTATAAAGGCAAAGCATAAGGACAGAGAGTGCATTGTGTAGCTAGCTAGGCTTAGCTATTTATCTTCACTCAATTTCTTTCTCATCACCTCTTTGGCATGGCCTCCCAAATCTCTTCTTTTCTCTTAGCTTCTCTTGCTGTTTTCTTCTTCCTTTGTTCCTTGGACAAAAGCTTTGCAACAAGGGAGGACAAGGAAAGAAGCAACAATCTTCATCTTGTTCATCTCAGCTCTCTCCTTCCATCATCTTCTTGCAGCTTTTCCACCAAAGGTCGTTTCAATTTTCCCTCTCCTGTCTCTCTCTCATCTCATCAAATTGATATCAACTTGTAGTATCTTGAATATTTTGGTAGTGTTTTATCATCAAAATTAAGATTTAATGTAAATTTTTGTTACATTGATTATCAAGATTCAAGTGTGTGAAAAATTGTACTAGTTAAGCTTAATTTCTTTGCTTTAATAGCATAAAAAAATTATGCACGATGTATAACGTAATTGATAGATACCTGAGTTTAACTTTTAATTTGGTCAAGTTTGTAGAGAAAAACTTTGTTAAAAAAGATAAAAATCTATTTTGATGATTTTCACGGATAAACTAAAATTTATCTCAACTATCAATGAAGGATATTTTATATGAAAACAATCGAAAAATAGAATAACTTTTTTTTTTTACACATTCAAGAAATTAAATATTAAGATAAAAATATCTTTTAGGTTTTTTTTTTAGTATAAAATTGTATGATACTTTTGATTAGTTGGTTGGGCTAAAATTGTTTATATTATTAGTGTAATATATTATTTTCTCGATCATCTAGTTTTGTCTGATTGGATATAGTAAGCTTTATGGAGTATATTTTGACATGCATGCATGATAGCTACTCTAAACCATTTTATATGTGTATAAATGGTATATAGCACAAAACATTAATCCCATATTCTAGGCATTTTGATGTTCAAGAAAATTAAATCCTGCAATAGCTTTGACTTTGGGTGGTGAAAATGGGAAATTTTTGGAAGAAAAATAGAACAAATGAGTAATTGGGAATTGATTAAATTACTGTATATTTGCCTTTGGGTTGTGGCACGAGTAGTTTCTTTCAAGTTTCGGCGATGGGTCACATAATTGTCACAGAGAATATTCACATGGAACCCCACCATACCACACATGGTCACATATTCGAGATAGAGAGGGATAAAGGAAAAGAAAAACCAGCAACCACTCACATTTTTCAATAATCGATTATTATAGCAAAATATCTTGTATATCATGTGAATATTTTATATCAATTCATGTTTTTAAATTTCTGAAATTAATTAAAAAAAATTAGATTAAATTTAGAGTTAAAAAATAAATTTTAAAGAGATGAAAAAATTTGATTTCAGGTTAAGTGATTGAGGTTTCAAGTAAAAACTGATATTTAATATAAAAAGTAATAAATGGTATTTTAAAAATAAACTTTAATATAAAATAAAATTTTAAAAATATTATTCTAAACTTAAGTGATATGATATTTGAAGATAAATTTTTTTTTAGAAAAATATAAATAAAATTTATTAATGAAATAAATACCAATCACTCATTAAAATATATACAAAATAATTATATATTATTTATTTTTATTTTTATTCTTCATATCACGTCAATAAATATTTGTTATTTCATAATATCAAAATTTAATGATTAATAAATATTAAAGTGTTTTTTGAATTAAATTTCATATTAATAAAAATAAAAAAGATTAAACGTTTCAATTTTAAAAATAAAAAATTAAAATTATGGATTAAAATAAATAAAGAAAAAAGTGTAGTTTAACTATTATTTTATTATCACTTACATATTTATATTCTGTTGAATATTTAGATGCTTTAATCACACAAGTATATATTTATAAATTTATCATATTTTTTTATTTGAATCTATAATGATACTTTTACGCCAAAATTAAATTAAATTAAAAATTTTAATGGGCATGTTTAATAAGGCAAATACGTTAGTTTTTAATTTATTTACTAATTTAAAGTTTGTTTGACCAAATAACTATTTTTGTAAAGAAGTTAAATTTTCTAAATTTTAGTATTTTTGGCTGTAAAAAAACACTTGTAGTATTTTTAAAAAAAAATGTTAATTTATGTAGCACTTAATCCTACGCTCCTGAATTGTTATAATTTGTTTTTTGATTGAACACGCTCCTAAATTATTGTTATTTATTTTCACTGCATTACTATAATTTCTTCTTTATCCTTTTTATGTTCATGAACTCTTAACATCTATCTTTTAAATTTACTCTCATATTATTCATTCTCATTCTCATCAAACAACATGTTTTTTTTATCAAATTTATAATATTTTTTTTATATTATTTATTTTTAACTAATAAAAATATTTTTAAAATATAATGAAATTAAAAAATTATTATTCTTACTTTCAAGATAATTAATCAATTAAAACAAACTATAGTACGAAAAGTCATTGTAATTTAAATATATATTTGTGTATGTTTATTTAGTTAGTTATTTAGTAATATAATTTTCAAGTTATACTCATGTGATGTATGTCCTTTATCATTCTACACTTATGAATTTGTTCGATAACTAATTTTAGGAAATATTTTTAATTCAATTAATTACCTTACAAGACAACCTTTCAATTTTCAATTTTCAATTACGGAATTACCTTTTCAGTGTGGAAAGATTTGTTTAATCTATTGTCACGGGTCAGCAATCATATACTACTCAATGAGACTCATATTGTCACGGGTCAGAAAATCATTATTATTACTTAACCATGTGACTATGAAAGATTATGAAATTTCCGCAACAATTTGTGGACTTTGTATTTTGTTGTTTTGTTTACAAGAAAATCATTTTCATTCACGGTTGGCACTTCCCCAAACCCATTATTATAAATTAAAAAGGAAAAAAAAAAAAAAAAAAAGTGGTGAAGTTTACTTGTAGAACATCATGTTTTTCTACCCAACCATCTCCTTTGTCAAACTTTTGTACTGCTTAAGAAATTGACAAAATTTTGGCCAAAAATACCTTCATGAAGACCAAAGATGGAATCTTAACAAGTTTTTCCTATTTCAATAGCGTAAAAAGAAAAAGAAAACCTAAAGGTTTGGTCAATGATTTAATTAACATGATGGGGACACAACAGGGTCAGAATTGGATCTTGCTTTATTTCTCTGATGAATCTAATTTAAATCAAAGAACTTATACCATATATCAGCTTGAATTCAATTTAACCATATGTTTAATAAAATACAAGTGACCTTTTTGCGTTGAATTAATTACTAGGTTTAAGAGAGAAATAACAAAATATAGTATGAGCATATATATGTAATGAAAAATTAGTTAGGCCTTAATTATATATATAAGTGCATGCATGTTTCATGGTACCCACAAACTATATATGATAGCCAAAAAATTTAGGTGATATGTTGCTGTCTGAAAATATGATTACTTGGACGTGTAGCACTCGTGACCCATGAACTCCTTGAATTAATTAAAGAATTTAACTGTATTTGAGTGCTTATCCCAACAATAGAATATGGGTCAGAAGTTTTTTTTTCTCATTTGTACGAAATTAATATTAATTCAATTAAGTTGTATTTTACTATTTTAGTTCTCTGTGTGGCCGTACCTAACTAATAATAGAGCATAACTATGTACATATAAATAACTACACCCACTAATTGAGATAGTGCTTGTTAACCAACCCTAGATGGGATTTTGTCATGAGACATTACTTCCAATATATGTAGCTTTCCCTTTAAAATTATTCAGTTGGTTGGCATTTTATACACACTCTTCTAGATAAAAGCACTCAATTATGAAGTATATATTCACTAATGTAAGAATTTGAATCTTAGGAGTGATGGGTGGGCTTGAAAGAAACGAAGAATTATATTTATTGAAAGAAATTGATATTATAGTTATAATGAAAGCTTAAATATGTTCCTCAAAATTTTGGAGTAAATTTATATTTTTTCTTAAATTTTAAAAAGTTTGTTTTAGTCCCTCCTAATCACATGTAGTATCATTGTCAAAGACAAATTAGATTAATTATATAATATTAATTAAATTTAATGTAATATTTTTACTAATAAAAATACTGGTGAGTGGATTTTGTGTTATAAGTTGAATATTAGATTAATTTTATTTGTTAAATTCATTGACAATATTTGAGTATAGTAATTGAATTAAGATTTTTAATTTTCCTCAAATTACATAAACTAAAATTCAATTTTTAAATTAAATTTTTTTTTTACATATTTTAGAAATCAAAAATATATTTAAACTTATGTATAAACATGTAATAAATTATAAATGATTAAAATTTGGTGTCCTTCAATTTTTCATTCCATATCCTCTTGGGCACTTTCTCTTCAAGTCAAATCTTTATGTTAAATCAAATTTATTATTCCCTTCACCACTATAGTTAGCCTTAACCATCCATGATTTGACACCACCAATTCTCCAATTATTCTTCAGGTCCCAAAAGAAAAGCATCATTGGAAGTGGTACACAAACATGGGCCATGCTCCCAAGATGATGGCAAAGCAAAGGCCACAGCAACACCACACAGTGACATTCTGAATCTAGACAAAGAGAGGGTCAAGTACATTCACTCCAGGCTCTCCAAGGAATTGGGCCAGGCCCAAGACGTTGGGGTGAAGGAACTGGACTCAGCCTCCCTACCAGCCAAGTCTGGGAGCCTTATCGGGTCCGGAAACTACTTCGTGGTTGTGGGCCTTGGCACGCCCAAGAGGGAGTTGTCACTGATTTTCGACACTGGCAGTGATCTCACTTGGACTCAGTGTGAACCCTGTGCTCGCTCTTGCTATGAACAGCAAGATGCAATCTTCGATCCATCCAAGTCTACGTCCTATTCCAATATCACATGCACTTCTCCTCTATGCACTCAGCTCACTTCTGCCACAGGTAAACCGTTAATCAAATTTCATGCACGACATCAAAAACTTAACCACAAAAAAGTTAGGAGTTAATCACGTATATACTGTCAGTGTAAAGTTTTTTTACATCGACAATCAATCATATCTTTTAACAGTGTCATGTCATTTACTTATTTAATCAAATAAAAATAAAATAAAATAATTTAAAAATATAATTTTTTTACACTCGTTATTTATGAATAATTAACTCCAAAGTTAAACTATTATTTTATTTAATATTTTTTTTCATTTTATATTGAGATTTCACTATCCATGCAGGAAATGACCCGGGGTGCTCAGCATCGACAAAGGCATGCATCTACGGCATACAATATGGCGACCAATCCTTTTCCGTCGGCTACTTCAGCCGTGAGCGCCTCAGCGTCACCGCCACCGACGTCGTCGACAACTTCCTCTTCGGCTGCGGCCAAAACAACCAGGGCCTCTTCGGCGGCTCCGCCGGCCCCATCGGCCTCGGCCGCCACCCCATCTCCTTAGTCCAGCAAACCGCCTCCAAGTACGGCAAAATCTTCTCCTACTGCCTCCCCTCCAGCTCCAGCTCCGTCGGCCACCTCACCTTCGGCGCCGCCGCACGCGGCAGTTATCTCAAGTACACCCCCTTCTCCACCATCTCCCGCAGCTCCTCCTTCTACGGCATCGACATCGCCGCCGTTTCCGTCGGCGGCACCCGCCTCCCCGTCTCCTCCTCCACCTTCTCCGCCGGTGGCACCATCATTGACTCCGGCACCGTCATCACGCGCCTCCCGCCCACCGCTTATGCAGCTCTCCGGGCGGCATTCCGCAAGGGCATGGCCAAGTACCCCACCGCCCCCGAGCTGTCTATATTAGACACGTGTTATGACCTTAGTGGCTACAAAGTGGTTGCCATTCCCAAGATAGATTTTTCTTTCGCCGGCGGTGTTCAAATTGAACTCTCACCGACGGGGATACTCTATGTGGCAAGCGCCAAACAAGCATGTTTGGCGTTTGCCCCCAATGGAGATGATAGCGATATTACTATTTTTGGAAACGTGCAACAAAGAACCCTAGAGGTTGTGTATGATGTTGGAGGTGGAAAAATAGGGTTTGGTGTTAATGGATGTAAGTAATATATTTTCTAACATAGTTCTTTTAACACACTTTTAATCATGAGTGAAACTTGTGATTGAGAATATGTTTTAAAGAGTGTGTTAAAAAATTATGTGATTGAGCTAATTAGAAAGAAATGAATTTTAATTAGCTCAAATTATTATTATTGTTATAGCAAAGTGTAATAGTTGAAATAGAAATGGAAAAACAATAATGTTGGAAAAATAGTGATTACTTGGAGACGGATATGTGGGAAATATGATGTAGCATGTAGAATGGAGGGAATGTTATGACTTTCAAACTGTGCGATTGCTTGCAATTGTACATATAAAGATGTGTAAAGTGACATAAATGTAAACTTATATTACAGGTTTGTTGAATAAATAAAAAAAATGTCTTGACTTAAAATATTTGATATTTGATTTAGTTTGGTCATGATTAAATTTTTCTTTATGAGATTATAGTTCTGAGTATAAAATTATTTTATATTATCATTCGACATGACAAATTATATAATATAGTAAATTTGTAGATTTTTATTAAAAATAACTAAAATATTGAGTTAATAATAATTTTTAGTTGTTTGATAGTATAAAAATGTTTTGATTGATAGTGCATGATGCTTATTATTTTTTGTTGATATTTTTAAAATTAACCATGAGGTGTGTGTTATAAAAGAAAACTATATGCATTTCATAAATGTATACAAGATAATATATATCACATGAACCAATTAACAAGTCTATTGTCTGTGTGACTAAACTTGTTGTCTCTAAATAATGTCTCCAATTTAAGTCTTGTACATTAAAAAAAAAAAAAAAAAAATATGCTGTTAAAAATGATGATATCACGTGAACTAATTAACTAACAAGGTTGAGGATTTTAAAGCTTCCCAAAGTTCGGAATCTGTATGGGCCTATTCACTTTTTTTATTGTTATTGGGCTAGCTAGGGATTGCAATATACCAAAGTTGCTACTTGCTACGCCACTTTCGAACATGGGCCTCTACATAGAATTTTGTAGCTGTCCTGAATTTTTGGTTCTTCAGCATGCCAAGATGGAAGGAAGGTTACATAAGCATGAATTACAATTTACAAGAATGAGGAACTGCACTTCGAATTTCCAAGCATGCCCATGAGAAGAGAGAAATCAAACGACTAAATTTAAAATCATAAATATCATCTTTATAAATAAATCAGAATATGAAAATATTTTTAAAGATTTTTTTTAACAAAAGTATTTTTATGAACTTTTTCTTTCACGACAGTCCTTTGAGAGATTGTTCTGAATTACAGTTAACCCTTTCGATTTATCTTCTATCTTTAAATTAAGTTTTAATATTTTAAAAATTATTAATAATTAAAAATAACTTTGTAGCACAGTGTAAAATATTTATCATAAATATAAATATAAGATATAATTTATATGTTTAAAAGTATTTAATTATTGCAAAATTTACTTATAATATAATTTATATATTCAAAATATTTATTTATGATATTTAAATATATAAAATAAGGTTAAATTATAATTTTAATCCTTCTATTTTTGTTACTTTACATTTTTTGTCTCTCCATTTTAAAATAAAGGCACTTAATCTCTTATTTTTTAAAATATAAAATTTTGATCTACCGTTAATTTTATGTTCATTATCATTAAAATTGATATTTTTAAGTAAGTGTCAACACTTAAGTAATATTTAGTAACATGATAAGTAGGAATAACAATTAAATATATCATATACCTCTATTTGTATTTACTTTAACGAGTAATTAATATTTATTTTATTAATAAATTTTATTTACACATTTTTTTTAATTTCTAAATGTCATGTTACATCATATTACTTTAAGTATATATGTATAAATGTTAAAACTTAACAAGGATGTTAATTTAACAAGAGGACCAAAATTTTATACTTTTAAAATTAGAGAGATTTAATATCTTTATTTTAAAATAAAAAGATAAAAATTACAAATTAATGAAAATAGAAAAAAAAATACAATTTAACCTAAAATTTATACTTATCATATGCGTTATCATAACATATTTATGATAAATCTCCTCCAAATTAAATAAATCCAGTCCCAACCAGGGGAATAATGATAAGTAATGAATCTCAATTGATTCTGTAAAACTTTCGGAATATATGCTCTTTTACAAGTTACAACTATTAAAGTAAAGCAACATAATATAATAATAATAATAATAATTACTATCATTGTTATTTTGAAAATATTTACTAAATTTTTAAAATTATATATTTCACTATTAAACTTACAAATTTTTACATATTTTATTAGTTAATCATTTAATATCATCAATTGATTGTTAACGAGATATATGAACTGTTAATATAGAGTACTGACATGATCGATATATAAATAATAATATATTATAACATGTTATATGAATAATAAATATGATAAGTTAATAACCAATATTTTAATTAGCAATCAACTAAAGTAATTAGATGATCAACTAATATAATATAATATTAAAATATGTTAAAATTTGAAAATTGAATAAGAAAATATACAATTTCAAAAATAAGATGGAAAGACTTACAAAATCATAAAACTTAAGTGAAAAAATGTAATTAAACTTAAAAAAAAGTGTAATTAAAATTAAAAAATTATATCTAAATATGTAATTGGATTAAATATTCTAAAAAAATTATTTATTTATAATAGTCTTACTCTATTTGAACAAAATTATAAGGAAAAAAAAATTAAAACTTGGGAGTAAAAACTGTCTTTATCATACATTATTTTGTTTTGAGTGCAATTATACCAAAATTTTACCACTTTTGTATAATTATACACGCTAATATATATTAACTTTAAAGTTAACTAACATTTCATTATAGTGATTATTATGACATTAACCATGTCACTGATGTACACAACAAAAGTGACAAAGAAAGAACATATCCACATGGCACAAGACTAGTAATTAATTCAGACTTTAACCTTTAAGGCAGCTATCATCCACAATCATATCTCTAAAATTTATATTTGGTGTAGTAGGTGTTTGTCATGATCAATTTTTTTAAATTTTTTCTATTTGATACTTCCTAAGAATGTGTTTTTGGTTAGCACAACACAACCACTTTCAAACATCCCAGTTGACAATCACAAAACGGCTCTAATCTAACCTGGCACCTTAGCTATAATGCATTATAATTTTGGGGGAATTAATGGAATGGCTCCAAAAGAAGCAAATCTTGCAAATGAGATTGATCCAAGTTTCAGCTTCATTGCTTTGTTTATTGCTTGTGATCTCATCATTTGCACACACAAGGAATCTCAGCTTACACAGTAACACGTATCAAATGTTTGTGTCCAAATATTAATATAAATTAATTGTTTGTATCCAAATGGTTGCATTCTATTGGTTCTCCTCATTCTTACTCTACACCTCCCATGTGGTGGTCCCACCACCAGCTGGTCGCTTATGTCATTTTTACTACAAAATTTATGTGATTCCGATGATTGAGGGGATGTGTTCAATACAATGATACATGTATCCCAATATCACCCAATCCTATATTTCATCAAGCATATGATTTGATTTTACTTGTTTTGAAACTACTTGAATCTACTTTTAGTTATAGTTTCACCACCCTATAATTTTGGTATCCAAATTTAATATCTTAATTTTTAAAATTCATCAATATGGTTTCACTTTTAACATGTTATTTAAAATTAAATAAATAATGCTGAGGAGGTTTAATGATTGTTTTTGCTTACGATTAGTTGGTCATGTAAAAAATAGTTGTATTAAAATTAAAAATATTTTTTTAAAAGAATTATAAATTTTAATTAAAATAAAATAGAAAAATAATATATGTGTAGAAAAAAATAATATTTCTTACACAGAAGCTAACATGACTAAATAATTGTTAGGAGTGAAAATAGGTTAGACGACTTGTCAAAAACATGTGGTCTCACTTATTTAAAATCTAGTCTATCCTAATTTTATTTTTTAATGAAACTAAAGTTAAATTTTTTAGAAAGCCTTTTTAACTAGAAAAATTAGGTTTTAAACTTTTACAAAAGTTTAATAGATTTGATACACCTATTTAAAATATAAAATAATAGTATATTAATTTATAATATATATATATATATATATGAATATATAATTATTAATAATATATTTAATATTTAAGTTTATTAGCCTATTTATATGTCTTGTATAAAATAAATAATATAAATAAGCTTTCAAGTCAAGTAAAACTTTTAAACAAATTAAATCAAAAATTAAAATAAATATTTATAATAAGTAAACAAATCAAGTTCAAACTTTGATAATTTTGATGTAGGTCCAATTCAAGCCTTCCAAACTTTGTCTTACCCTAACCTGTTTTTACTTTTAGGTAGTGTCACTTACAAATACATTAATATATTTTTTTTTAAAAAAAAATAGATGACATGTTAATGATGAACTATTATGTCTAGTTTTAAAAACTAAGAAACTAAATTTACAATAAAAAAAATACTAGGGATTAAAATTGTATATTCATAGAATTATAAGAATTAAAAAATAGATCTAAAATCTATTACAAAATAACGCGAGAGAGAAAAATTGAAGACATATATACAAATTTATATGATTAAATATTTTAATGTAAAAGAAGTGAAAAATGTCATATAAACAAGTTAAATTAAATTGGGAGACCCAATAATAAAACTCATTACCCAATCTAAAAAACAACCTATTTTAAATACTCGATCTAAATTGAATTGTGTTGTATTCAAATAATTCATATCAATAAGCCAAATATTTGATTTGAGTTGCTTTCATTTGACTTTGGAAATAACTATAATCATAAAATCTAAGCTATTCTAGTTTAATTATTATTATCGATTTCAAATCCTGAATATATAACTATTTTAAATATTCAAATATAATTTTTTTTTTCATACATAACAACCTTATGACTCAAATATGATTATATCTAACGATGAATACTAATAGTTTTTAAAATAAAAAAACACGCATATCCATATAAACACCCCATGATATTATCACTCTCCAAATGGGAAATCACATTAAACATATATAAAGATGCATAAAGCCCCGTATTTTGGTTGCTTATTCATTCGAAAATAGGATATATTTGTATAATAACATATATTACACTCTCCTTTTCTTTACCACGTACATATATTTTCTCATACTTCTCCATCATATTTTCCTATCCATCGTTGTCTTAATAAAAAATAAAATAAAATAAAATTGGTGTGTCCAAAATTGGTAGGTCCAGGAATTTGATAATTTAACCTTTTTATCAACTATCATATTCTCTTATCTCTCTTTTCATCACATTATATTACCTATTAATTTTTATTTTTTTGCTTATATTTTCTTCTTTTACCGATGTCATTAGCAGTCAAAGAAAAAAAATTGAAAAGGGAAAAGGGCAAACAGGACAAACCAACATATGTAAAGATACATAAAGCTAAAGCACTTAAGCACCTTCTTTTGGTTACTAAATGCTACTTCTTTCGCAAAATAGATGGGTTAAATATATTTTAAATTTCTTAAATTTAAATAAATTTATTTTTAATTTTTAAATTTTAAATTTTGATTTTAATTTTATAATATTTTAAAATCTAATTTTAATTTCTTAATCATCAATAATATATTTAAAGATAACAATAATTATATAATATCAACTAAATTTAACATAATATTTTTACTAAAAAAAATCAATAAATAAATTTTATATGATAATATTTAATGAATTCTATAATAAGATTTAAATATAAAAATTAACACATTTTTTTAAAAAATTATAAATATTAAAAAATGTTAATTTAAACATTAACAAACTATAAATAAGTTTATCATGATTAAAATATTTTAAAGCTTAAATTATTTGCATAATAACTTATGTTACACTTTTGTTTACCTCTTAATGATATGACTTGTATATATTTTTGGTCTTTGAAGCCCTCCACGGCAGAAGAAAGCATTTCCCTTCCCCATGGCCGACACCACCGCCGGCGCGACGGCGCTGTTGGAGCGGCGAGGGAAGTTTAGCCGCAGCGTGTCGCACGTGAACGACGAGTTCCACACGTTCCGCTCCTACCTCCGGTGGATGTGCGTGGACCAGTCCAACCCCTTCACGGCGGTCGTGTCCTGGTCGGTCTTCCTCCTCCTGGCGGTGGCCGTCCCCGCCGCCTCCCACTTCCTCCTCGCCTGCCCCTCCTGCGACGGCCGCCACTCCCGCCCCTACAACGCCGTCGTGCAGCTCTCCCTCACCGCCGTTTCCACCCTCTCCTTCCTCTGCCTCGCCGCCTTCGTCCGCCAGTACGGCCTCCGGAGGTTCCTCTTCTTCGACAAGCTTTGCGATGAGAGCGAAACTGTCAGAACCAACTACATGGCACACCTCAATGTATGTCACTCCTTATTTCCTTTTTTTTTTTAATAAAAAAATATTATTTTTTATATGTTAATTATGTATACCTATCTTCTAAATTATATTATTTATTATGAATCATGATCACTTTTATTTTTACGTCATTATGATGTTTGTTTTTCTTTTGGATTACTCATTTTTGTCGCAACCAAGTTGTGGAAACAGGAACTTGTCTCTTTTGATTTTGTACGCTGTTTTACAATTCGGAGATCTTGATTTTGTTACCTTAGTAGAAATCTGATTTGGTCGCGTAATTTAGAACCATTCCTTCATTTTCCAACCACAAGAATATTTTGATGACCAACAATGGAAAATTGTGGAACTTCAACATCGACATAGCTTCTAAAAGAATGAGTTCTGATTAAGCTTTGGTTCTAGAAAACAACAGCTTTAACTATTAAACACTCATAATCACTGGTTCAAAAGAAAATCTACTATCCCACTATTAGCAAAATGAAACAGCTCTAATGCTAAATTAATTATTCTGAGCTTCAAGAACACATCTTCTGAAATAGTAATTTTCATTTTTTTATTTTAGATGAAAATGGTATAAAATATTGACCATCCTATTTGTTACATAACCTTATAACTATTAAAGTATCAAAATCACAGACACTAGAACAATCTATAGAGTATTGATTCTCAATTATAAAAAGAGATGAGAAAAGGGTCATCAATGGGTTTGTCCAGCCATAGAATCCACTAGAAATTTGCAAATGGTAAAGGAAACTGTTCTTTAAGAGCTTTAAATTTTACTCCACATTGATCCCAATACAATGAATGAGAATTGGATCGATCGGAAATAGAAACAGAGTCCTCCTATGTTCGGTGCTATCATTATAATTTTAATAGATAAAAGTAAAAATCAATGAAACAAAATTTGAGACTTGCAAGCTAAACTTAAATAAAAAGAATGCAAATATAAAGTGACGTATCCTTAAGTTGTGAAGCTTTTGTGTGGAATACAGAGGTCATTGAAGATTATTTCGGTGTTTGTGGGGCCATGTTTCGTGGCGGAGGGTGCATACAAGATATGGTGGTACGCATCTGGAGCCTCGCAAATCCCATTCCTGGGGAACGTGTACGTCAGCGATTCGGTAGCGTGCATACTGGAACTGTGGTCGTGGCTGTACCGGACGACGGTGATCTTCATCGTGTGCGTTCTGTTCCGTCTGATCTGTCACCTCCAGATCCTGCGGCTGCACGACTTCGCGAGATTCTTCCACGTGGACTCGGACGTGGCTTCTGTGATGTCGGAGCACCTTAGGATCAGGAGGCACCTGCGAATCATTAGCCACAGGTTCCGCGCGTTCATCCTACTCGCGCTGCTATTGGTCACTGGAAGCCAGTTGGCGTGCCTCCTGGTCACAACCAAGCATCCACACGATATGAACATCTACAAAACCGGTGAGCTGGCGGTATGTCCCTACTCCCTACCCTACCCTTTAGCTTTTTATTTTTTTTAGTATTGTTATTATTTTGTTAAAAATATAATTTATTGACTTAAGATAAATTTATTTTTTGTTTATCAAATTTAAAATTATTGTTTTTAGTCTCTGTAATTTTTAAAAATCTTGTTTTAGTCATTTAGATCACCAATAATATATCTGAAGAATGATAAATTAAGATAATTATGCAATATTAATTATATTTAATGCGATATTTTTACTAATAAAAATACTAATAGATAAATTTTATATAATAATATTTTATTAATTTTGTTAACAAAATTTGAATATAAAGATTAAGATAAGATTTTTTAAAATTACAAGAACTAAAAAAAATAATTTTAAATTTAAGAGATAAATTTTTTTTATCTTAAATTTGAGAGACTAAAAACATATTTAAACTTAATTTATTTGATTTTTTGATTGATTACATATATTGGCATTTTATTTTGTGTAATGTATTAGATAATTATTTATTTTATATAACTAAATTATATTAATTGAATTATTCTTTTTTCTTTTCTACAAGTCAATTAAAAAATCTTATATTTTGATTACTTGATTCCATTTATAATTTGATCAGAACTAATCTGCCATGGTTAACTAGATTAAGTAGCGAACAAATATTTTTGGGGTGTGATTTTTTAAGAAGTAATTTAAATATATTAACAATATAGATATTTTTTTACCTTGCTATACAATCATCGATTGTCCTATATAATATGAATATTAACTTTTCTAATAACAATCGATTTAAAAACTACTTTTAGAGTAATTTAATTAGATAATACCATAAAATTTATCAAGAAGGTTTGATAATTGATAAATAATTGAGTTTCTTAAACATGCTTTTACATGTTAAATTGAATTAGACTTAATTGTAGGGACCGACCTCTTAGCTGTAGATATACAAGATTTCATCAAGCACAATAAATAAAAATTTATGGGATTGAAATCATTGTTACTAAAACGAAGACGTGTCCAATTTGATGCAATTGTAACTTGCTCCATGTTCCCTTGGTCAAGTTAGACATTGGAACATTATCGTATTATTAAAATAATACCGAAAAAGACAGGAGCAAAACATTTATTAATGAAGGGAAACAAGGGAAACCAAAACAAACGGGACCTAACTTAATGTGGGGGTTATATTCCGGTGCAGCTGTGCTCAGTGACGCTCCTTTCGGCGCTGTGCATCTTGTTGCGGAGTGCGACGAAGATAACGCACAAGGCGCAAGCGATCACAGGGCTTGCTGCCAAGTGGCACGTGTGTGCGACGTTGGATTCTTTTGATGGAGTAGCGATGGAAGGTGAGACACCAATGGCTCCTCAGAGTTCCCATGAAACAGTTTTTCCTAATGTGGGAACAGATGGGGAATCGGAGACCGATGAAGCAGGTGATGAAGAAGATGAAATTGATGATACCAAGTTCATCCCATCCTATGCTTATAGCACCATATCATATCAGAAGAGACAAGCTCTTGGTAAATTTCTCACATTTTCTTATATCTTTTTTTATACAATTTAGTAATATATCAAGAATTTAATTTTTCCCTACTATGTGTGTTTCAAAATTTGTTCGGTTAATCTAGGCTTCTCTTTACTCGTATGTTTCTGCATGGAATATAGTAGTAAACTTCATATTGAAATGATGCCAAACCCACTCTAAATAGAAGGATTGAAATCAAATTAATAACATCGAACACATTATGATAGAAATCACAGTTAATATATTATATGACATGATAGCCCGTTGACTATAGTAGTACTTTAGTCGCAATACGGAATGCCAATGTGTCAAGACTCAAGAGCGAATCACTCTCATAGAATATATTATATACACCTGTGTTTATTCTATAAGCAAGTAACCTAAAATATAAGGTGCTAATGTTACTGCTTACGAACATCAAAAGATGTTCCAAGACAATTTCAAGAATTTTTATACTATATATATTTTATTCTTTTTTTAAAATAATGATGATTTGTACTCAGTCTTAGTGTAAATCTGGAAAGAAGTTTTACAGTGTTATGAAATAATGTGTTATTGTAGACCACAATTAACCCTTTTTGAATTAAAGATTCAACACATATTTAGATATAGCTTCATTTTGGAAGAAGAAAAAAAAAGTATTTTTAAACTTTTAGGAAAATAGAAAAACGACTGTTTATATAAAATAAATTAGACTAATTCAAGGATAAATGATACATCTATCTTTTGATGAATAGCTCATCCTTTCTCCTTTTGTTTTAGTTAGATTTTAATTAATACTAGTAAAAAGATATGAAAAAGGGACTAGCATATTCTACTATACATGTAACCCAATAAATTGTGAAGTAATATTTATATAGAGAGTAAAAAAATGTTTTTCATCTATCAAAATATTTCAGAATGTTTTTAGTCAAAGTTTAATACGTTTATAATTTCTACATTTTTTTGCAGTAAATTACTTTGAGAATAACAGAGCAGGGATTACGGTATATGGATTCATGTTGGATAGGAGTACGCTCCACACGATATTCGGCATTGAAATGTCACTAGTTCTTTGGCTTCTCGGGAAAACCATTGGCTTCTCTTGAAGAGTCTTATTTGGTTTATTTCATTATAATGCATCAAGCAGAGCCCCAGAAAAGAAGAAAGATAGCTTGTGATTTGTGAATCCCTTATCTTTGATCTATTGATCCCAGTTGCCTGCTGCTCGCACTTTAAATTGGATGACAAGTTTGTCGTGCATTCGTTTTGTAATTCTATTTATATTTTGATTATTTTATGATATTTTATTTTATTTTAAAAATAATAGAGTCAGAATGTCATCATTTCTATAATTATGAATTAAAAATAATAAATAACATATTATTGCCTTATAAGTGTCTAATATATTCTCGCTTTGGTTTTCCCTTGCTCGTATGCATGTAAACCATAATTATGTTTCTTCAACGTTTGAACGTAAACACAAATTTTTTTTTTTTTTTTTTTGTGTGTGGTATCTATACTCAATTAAAACATATTAAAGAAAACCTTTAATTGTCAGTTTAGAATATCACTAAAAATTGGATAAAAATCTGCATGAATTCGTAGTATACATCCAACAGTTTTGTCACATGTGAATTCGTAACTCGTTTACAAACCGAAGAGTATTTCCCTAAAAAGAGTTAAGAGCAAAAAATCATATGGAATTTTGCTTTAAAAGCTCCTCACTTAAATTTTCACATCTAGTTTTTAAGGGTATGGCTGTACCAAAGTGGTTAATGTGCATGCTGCGGCATCTACTAAAGATAGAAATTAGTCCTATGAATAAACAAAAACGGGAAGTTTTCTTCTAATGCATAGAGAAAACCAAACAATCTTGCCTTAACAATCATATAATTCCTAGAGCAAACAACAGGCATGAATTTGTTCACTCGCTTGAGAGATATCTGAGGAAAAATTCATTATATCATTCTTTTACCATACATCAAACTCAGTTCTGGGAGCTAAGGATCCTTGCAAAGAGCATAATGTGTTATTAATTTATGAAGTACTAGATGAGCTGACGCACTTCGTGCCTCTATTAGTTACACATAGACAAATATTAGAAGTTACGTAATATTATTCAAAAAGGATATAATTTTTTTTTTACATCCAAGGAACATAACAATCCACTAAAAAGTGAAAATCAAAAGAGTGATTACCAAAATATATTCCTTTTATAGATATAGAAGATATAGATTAGCCATATATATTGTAAATAGAAGATATGATTTTTACCTTGATATCCACTGGCAACAACAATAAAAATACCCTAATCCCACCAGCTAAGTATGATTACATGGATCATGTGATATTATTAGGCTTGGTTAAAAACCAAATTCTCCATGGGATTACACACTAATGGTGATTGATTAATCACACGAGCAACCAAATTAGATGCAACAGCCATTGATTTATGCAACTCCCAGAATAGAAGATATTATCACATTATATACTTGCAAAACATTCTTCTGATCTTAAAACAACTCAAACTAATCAACTTCATTCTTTCACGCACAAAATACTCAATGGATCACAAACGTCGAGAAACTAATGTATTATGAAGCACAATTAATCAACTGTATAATATGCAAAGAAACAAGATGTCAACTATATTTCAAAACGAAAACTCTAACCATTTTCAAATTAATCCTGAAAAATGACATTCTACGGCTCCACTGTTGACACCTGTTGCCATTCCCCATCTACTGCTTCCTTCCACAATGTCACATTGTTGTTCCCATCAGCCACAGCCAGTATGTTTCCTGTCAATGACCATGAGACCCTCCAAACAGGTGTCTTGAAATCATTCAAAACCTTGCCTTCCCACTGATCCCCCTCTTTTGCCACGGTCCATATAATCACTTTACCGTCCTGTGATGCACTAGCGATGGTGGATTTAGGAAGCCCTAAATTCGGTGCCCAAGCAACATCTCGAACCCAATCTGTGTGCATATTAAGAGCAGGGAAGCAGTCCATCTTCCAGGTTCCATTGGTGAGCTTCCATACCTTCACAGTGTTATCACAACCAGCAGAGCACAGCTTCTGTACAGGATCAAGCAATCCTGCACCGACAAGGGCACCGGGTGCCATTGAGGGTGCCCATGACACCGAAGTAACACCAACTGGGTGAGCTTGATCAATCCTCGCTGTGTCCCAGCCACCGTCTGTTCTTACAGTGAAAACAGATATATTCCCATCAGATGAGCCACAAGCCAAGCAGAGACCCAACTCATGCGGCGCCCAAGCAACTGAATTCACAGATGACTTGTGGTCATCAAACACATGAGCTTGAGTCCATTCATTTGGGTTACCCTCCTTCCAAACAATGACGCGCCCGTCAAAGGAACACGAAGCAAGTAGAGAACCGAACTTAGGGTGAGCCCACGCCACTTGCCAAACAGGTCCTTGGTGACCAGTCAAAGTTGCTAGATGCTGAGAGGCCGTGTTGCTCACCCCAATTATCTTAATTGTGTGATCCGATGATGCCGTGGCCAGCCTCTTACCATAGTAATCCATCGCAACATCATGGACCGTGTCTTGATGACCCGTTTCAACCTTTTGAGAAGGCATATTTCTGCAATCAACACACACAGCATATAGCAAACAGTTAGTTACAAACAACCATTTGCAAATGAAACAAACCAACCTAAATTAAACTAAACTAAACTAAACCCTTTGTTAACTAGTCACTTCAAATGTTAAAAAGGCATAACAAATCGTAAATAAAAAATATCGAAGGGTCAACGAAAGCATAAGCGAAAGATTCAATACATCATACAGAAATAAATAAATATATAACATTTTCCAAGTAAACAACTTACTCAAGTCTCAAACAACAATTTACTTTACATAGTTATGAACCCATCAACAAGAACATCATACCCAAAAGTAAAACCCTATTATTCACAAGCAGATGAAAAACAGAAAACCCGGCAAAGGTTTTTAATTATACACAAAATTTCACCGAATTTCACATTGGGAAAAGTGAAAAGAAGATTCGTGCGAATCATGATCGATGAATGATTACAAAACCGCAAGAAATTCGCACAATTAAAAGCACCAAACACCCTAAAAAATGAGAATGAAAACAAGTTCTTTGGAAAAACAGCATCTGGCGAAAAATTGGGGAAATCCGCGTAACAAAGCTTAAGTGAGAAAATCAGCCCTAAAAGAGAGAGCTTTAAAATGAATATGAAGAAGCGCGAAATGGGTACGAAATCTGAAGATCTAAGTTGAAATTTTAACAGATCGAGAGAAAGAGAGAGAGAGAATCGAGAAGGGACCTGTGAAGAAGAGAGAGGAAGTGAGGGAACAAAAGGCGGTGGCCGGAGCTTCGGTCGACGGTGGGGCGAGATGGACTCGCCGGTGAGTGAAAGATAAGATCTAACGAAGAAAAAAAAACATGAGAAACTGAAAAACGGGAGAGAAGAAAAAGAACAAGCGTTACCGTTTCGTTCTTTTTCTTTTGTTTTTATTGGGCTCTCACTGTCCGAATCATTTGGGCTTTCGGCCCAATTACACCACTATTTTTTGGCTGGTGATAAACACACCTCCATTTTTATGTAAATACACCCTTTTTTTTTTAAATATATGAAATCCTTAAATTATCCTTATTTGCACCTCTCTTCTTCTTCCTTCTCCGCACGCACACCTCTCTTCTTCTTTCTTCTCCGCACACCTCTCTTCTTCTTTTTTTCAAACTTGTGCCAATCTGTAAACCTGGAGCAGTAGACCCAGGATCCATTATTCCGAATTAAAAACATAAGTAGACGGAAATTGCTTGAGGTCATACATAACAACAAGTTGGCATTTAATTTTTTGGTATATTTCAAGAATACCCCATGAATGAAAAACAATTACATTATTGAATAAACGAAGCTTCCAACACTACTTCGACCACCGCCAATCAAGCAGAAAACCAACATCCAATAAAATAAATTAAAAATACAGAAAAAAAAACTTGCAGAGAACCTTATGATTTGGAGGGAAAATCTCACAAACGGCCCACATTGCGCCTAAAAAGTCAAATGTTACAGCCGAGGGTAATGAGAAAAAGCAGACCCACATAGTCATTTGAACAATAAGGAAAGATAATGAAGTTGTTATCTCAACACTGGGTTGAAAGCAATGTGTCTAACTTGCTTATATTCTTGTTGCAGAAAAGGGGAATAATAGGAAAAATTTGTTGCAGAAAGTACTTTCTGGAATAATCAAGTTTTTATTATGAAAAGAATTTTCTGGAATAATAAAATTTTTGAGAAGAGAGGTGTAAAAAAAAGAAGAGAGGTGCAGGGAGGAAAAAGAAGAGAGGTGTGCAGAGAAGAAAGAAGAAGAGAGGTGTGCCTGCAGAGGAGGAAGAAGAAGAGAGGTGCACAGAGGAAAAAAGAAAAAGAGAAGTGTAAATAAGGGTAATTTAAGGATTTCATATATTTAAAAAAAAAAGGGGCGTATTTATATAACAATGGAGGTGTGTTTATCACCAGCCCTATTTTTTTTCTTCGCACCCATTTGTTTTTGGTGTTTAACTTTTTTTTTTTTTTTAACAAATTACTTGTCCAAAAATTAATTTTCATGACATACTTTGAAAAGTTGTGATGTTACCAAAATAAAAATCTTACAATATAACTATTTTTAGTATATTATATAAATTAGTTTTGTAAGATTATTGAAAAGTGAAAAGAAAATATTCACGAAAAATGATGAAAACAAAGCAAGAGAAATTGAGGAAAGGTGCATATTCGGACATCAAAAAGTGATTTCTTTCATGAAGATATTGCCGAGTTAGAGAAGGAATGTAATGACATGGGTTGATTTTTGTAATGACAATTTCTTGTTTGCTTATCAGGTTTTGTTGTAATATAATTAATTTTTGGTGATTGGGTTTTTCTGATTGCTACAAATGATATTTGACATAGGTTAATTGCTCATTATATTGGGCTATGTTGCAATATAATGAAACAAATTTTTGTTTGAGTAAACCATCAAATAATGATATTTCAAAATAATAGGCATTTGTTCTCTCTTTGTCTTATGTTGTTGAGCTTCATCAACAAATAATAAAATTTGACATTAGTAATTTATTTTCTAATAAAATTTTTTATTTTACCAGCCAAAAAATAACTTTCATTAATTAAGGATACCAATTATGCCCAATACAAAAAGGATAAGAAAAAAAATTATATCTTCTATGTGCTTATTTCATATTAAATGTTACCTAATGATTTGCACAAATCTCCTTTTGAATTTTAGGAGTTGTGTATATGGAATTTTGAGGGAGTATTTTCTAAGATACTTTGCAAACTTTTTCATTATAACTAGCTAAAAGCTTTAAAAGCTCAATAAAATTATTTTTATTTTAATAATCAAATGTAAAGTGATGTCTAAATTTGGAATTGAATAAAAGTAAATGTTTGGCCCTATTTTTTTTTTTTACATATAATAAACAGGTGAGAAAGGACAAGAAATGTCTAGAAAAAAAGAACCTTGATGGAGAAGAAAAAACTCATTGATTTATTTTTGTCATAATGTTAGAAAAATGTTGCATGATTACATAAATAGAGTATGAATGATGAGAATAATTTTAAATATACGATATACAATTAGTTCATCAAGTGTGTTTATCACATGGTAGCAACTAACAATATTTAGTTTCATGTATGATTTTTGTCAGATTAGTTTATCAATCATTGAGTTTTTTCCTTTTGAATTATTTACAATTCTTTTTGTCCTCTAACACCTTAAGAAGCAACTAGCTACCTTACTATTTGGTACAAGTATTGTTATATGCAAAAGGCACCCTAATATCACTCTTAAAGAATGAATACAAGACTTGTAATCTTCTTAGTTCAATATGTGAGCTTCTACATATAGAATCCATCGTTTTATAAAACACAAAGTATAAACTCATTACAATGGCACAAATGAAGAGCATTATGTTAATATCTTGATGGACAATTAATGGGAGGAAACAAATAATCAAAATCTAAAAGTTTAAAGGCATAAATTGCAAGAAAAATTATTTAGTGGCAAAATTTTCCCAAAAGAAAAAGTTTGAGGACATAGTGCAATTAAGCCTCTATTAGACATGCTATGCCATTCATATTATCCACGTCAAGCATGTCGTATTAACACTTCGTTAGTATTTTGACTGACAATTAATGGAAGGAAACAAATTGCTAAAATTTAAAAGTTTGATGGCAAAATCCACAAGAAAAGAACATAGGGATAAAATTGGCTAAAAATGTGAGAGTTTGGAGCACAAAGTGCAATTAAGTCAAATGGAAAAAAAAAATTACTCACATTTATAATTAAATACTACATTTGTCTCTATATATAAGACTCTTTTCACTTTTTTACCTGTTCCTTTATATAAGATTTATTTTTAATTATAAGTTATATTAATTATATATTCTTTAAACACCCTTATTTAATTAACAATTTTTTTAAATAAAGATAATAAATGCTTAAAATTAATTAGATAAAAACCTTCTTTCTCTTATTAGGATTTGAGAAGATAAATAGACACACAGATATCTCTTTTTTCAAAATATTAATTAATTAAGTGGAAAATGATTAGGTCAAAAGAGAAGTTAAGGGTAATTTTGGAAAATTATTTTGATAATTTTAATATTATTAACTAAATTAACTAATTTTCATAAAGGATGTAATTTAGTTGAAAGAGTCTTATAATAAGGGACGAGGGTAATAATAAAATCAAATGAATATTGGGATAAGTGTCATTATGATTGGGTGTCACACAATGCATGTTTAAACCTTGTTTCTAGTGGTGATGTGGTTCCCATTTCTAATTTTAAGAAAACACCAACACTATTCCCTTTTTTATCGCATTCATCTCTAGTTATTAACGAAAATTTAAACTCTTGATTTTCAACACGTTATATTTTGATGGTCAACATAAACATCAACATTACCAATATAAAAGCCCCAAATTTGTGCCAATTCTAGTTTTCAACACCAATGGAATCCCCTCTCATGTAACCAACCCTCTGCATGCATCTGTAGCCCCTCTTTCTCTCTTACCCCAAATTGTAAAAGGGAAAAAATTGCTTTATTATTCACATCATGGAACTTGCCATAGTACCGTTCGACTCAAGTTCCAAAGAGAATCAAACACTTTATCAAGAGTGGTTCAATTATGCAGATGCAGGTTGTTCTTTCAAACAAATTTGTAATCCTTGTTATCCTTTTATGAAAGTTGAAATTTATGGGGTATTAATTTTAGGATATATTTGCATTCACAATTTTTCAAGGGATTGATTCCATTCCAATCTCTTTTACAAAGAAAAAAGACAAATGTACATAAAAATAAAATGTTAAAATTTTTGTTCTTGTGTATAAAATGGTGATTAAGATTTTATTATTAATTATCTCCTTCATCCCTTTATGTGTTTTTTATGCAAAATAAAGTTGTTTGTATAAATTACTCTTTTGTAAGTAATGTTATTCATTTGGATGTCTTTAGATGGGGATGGTCGTTTTACGGGGAATGAAGCTATCAAGTTTTTTACCATGTCAAACTTGTCTCGACAAGACCTAAAACAGGTTTTCTATTTGATCTATTTTGTGCATTGGAGCAAGGTGTAGATATAAATAAGAAAAATGTATTTGCCAATTAAGGTTAAGGTACAATATTTTGTTAACTAGTGATAATTATTTTATCAGTAGCCAATCAATTATGAACTCTTAAAAAAAATCATCATATCTAGTCTGTTATGTTGCCATTTGTCTCTATTGTATATGATTAGGTATAAATTATGGATGGATTATTTATAATTGTCAAGTTTGATATTTTTTATAATTTTTTTCTTAATCTTTTTTTTGTTATAACTAAAGTATTGCTTTGTTGCGTCTTTTACCAAAATAAGGTATGGGCCATTGCAGATTCAAGACGAGAAGGATATCTTGGTTTCAAAGAATTTGTCATAGCTATGCAAGTAAAAAAAACACATTTATTTTTAAGAAAGTGTGTTTTTTTAAGCATGATTCTCATAAATTAACAAAATCTAATTCATTTGAATTATAGCTCATTTCTTTAGGACAATCTGGATACTCAATAACACATGACTTGCTAGATAGTGAAGGTATGTTATACACAATTATGTTTGTTTTTCTATTATTTGGTTTAATAATTGTATTTTCTGTATCATTTAAAGATTTTACAACGCACATTTTTGTTGCTAGTTATAGTGTTTTTTGTAGAAGCTATATAACATATATTAATTTATTTATTTTAGTTATGGAAATTGTAAAACCACCCCAAATGGAAGGTTTGGATGCACAACTTGCTGTAAGTTTTTATTTTTTATTTTTTATATGTCAATACTTTGTATTCATTTATTGAAAAGAGTTATTAATACTTGGTTTTATGTGTGCAGAAGAAAAAACGCAAACAAAAAGATAAAGAATTAAGTGGTAATATATGCTCACTTTATTGACTAAGGAAATTTATATTTCTTTTCTTTTTTTGTCTTGAGATTCTAAATTTATTCACCAGTAATCATACAGTTAGTCCTCAACCATCACCTGCAAGTTATTGGTTTTCTACAAAATCAGTAAAAAAAGTAAGTCATTTTCTACTATTAGCATATGTGTTTGTGCACATTTTGCATTAGTATGATTTGAGAATGATAAGGATAATATTTTTTTAAAAAAAATCTTCATATTTTTCAAGTTTTAGAAGATATATAATAGCTTAATCATGTTCATTTTTACTATCTTTTATTTTTAATATTTTTATATAAATATTTAGAACCTAACATGTCACATTGACGAATATCTAGAGGAATCAATTAAATGATTTATTTGATCTATGAATTGCGTATTATATTGATGCAATTTTTACTTGGTATGAGAGCTTTAAAATTTATTTTGAACTTTAGTTAGTTATTTTATGATTGCTTTTGAATTGAGCTAAAAGATATCAATATTGAAAATTGACATGACAATAGGAATTTTTTTTGAAATGTTCATGCTTCATTTACTTTGGGTTAAGGTTTGTTAGTGGAGGACTAAAATCATTGGTGTCATTGTACTTATATCTATGTAAGCAACACAAATCATTTCTAGATTTTTTTTTATAATTAACAAAAAAGATTCAATGTATCAACAAAGAATTGTATATACTTTATTTTGGACTAATTTATGTTTTCTTTTCTCACACTCGTCTTATTTGTTTAAAAATATTTTTGTAAATGTTTTAATTTGGTTTTGCTACTTCCTTATTATGCATGTGTTCATAGGTTTCAGCTTCATCAGTGACATCAATTATAGATGGTTTAAAGAGACTTTACCTTCAAAAGTTGAAACCGTTAGAAGTTGCTTATCGCTATAATGATTTTGTTTCTCCTATATTGGTAAGTGGGTGACTTTATTTGTTTTATTTAATTGAGAAATATAAATAACTACTATAGATTCAAATCCATTTTTTTATCCAATCACCACAAAAAAAATCATGAAGTAATACATACTTAATAGTGATACAATATTTATCACTAAAAAATACTTTTACATATACTATAGATACAATATATGTTAGTATATTGTTAAAAATGTATGTATAGGCTATAGTGACACACAATATATGTTATTAAATATTATTTAAAATAAACATTAAAATTGTGTGTAACTTTATGTTAAATAGATTTATGTCTATATATATTGATTTATAGGGACATTTATTATATCATTGCATGTAACCTTTTTTTTTAGTAAATCGTGTAGTTACTATGATTTTTATATTCTTAACAATGTGTAATTAAGTTTTTTATTGATTGTTATTCCTTACTCTTTATAGACAAATAGTGACTTTGATGCCAAACCTATGGTTCTGCTTTTGGGCCAATACTCAACTGGGAAAACAACATTTATTAAACATATGCTTAAAAGTAATTATCCAGGCAAGTGATTCTCCAACATCAACTTTAATACGTGTAATGTATATGTGGTATTGCTCACACTTGTTGTGTAATATATTTTATTGATTTTTCTTTTTTAATAAATGTCACTAGGAGCTCATATTGGACCAGAGCCAACAACGGATAGGTTTGTTGCTGTAATGGTATGTATTAAAATAGTTAATCTACATTACTACTAATATGAATTTGAATATCTCAAGACTTCATAGGTCTCCTATTTTTGAATTTACATATTAAATTTTATTGATTCTTACACAATAACATATTTTTAATAATTTATTATTGTTGATGAAAACAATAATTTGTTTTTTTTTTTGTATTTTTAAAGCTTTAGTTAGTGATCGCAAACTTGGTATGACCATTCCAAATTAAAGTGAAAATAATGATGCATAATTGTATGTTCAAATAGAATGTGAAAACTTATTATTATAATTAAAGTCTATAAATGTATTACAATGGTAGATTGAGAAATAGTAAAACTTAGAGATACTAAGTAGGATGTAAGAAAAAGAAGATTTATTGTGCATATAAGTTTTTGACTTGTGAATATGAAAATGTTGTTAGGAATATCTTTTTCCTTAAAGAGTTTTCTTTTTAGGGAATAAATTTTTACACTGTCTCGTGTTATTTGTTAGAAGAATAAGAAGAATACGTGTGTGTGTTTTCCATGCAATGTAGTGAAAACTCCATGATAAAAGAGAACTTAGAGAAGGATATATATTTTAAAATTATTTCATGAAATTTTTTGTAGGCATACATTTAAGTCCTTGATCTTGAATATAATTTTGTTTCAAAGATGTTATATTTTGAAATAAAAATATTTGAAATATATATTGTTAAACTTACTAATTATTTACTGAGTTGATAAATTAAAATGCTAAGGCTGCTAATAAGATTATTAGGCACTTTGTGATAAGTGTATGGTACATAGTTTGCACATTAACATTAGTGTTGAGATTGATATCTTGAAATGATGGTTATTTACGAAAATTGGTTGTTGTGGTGGTTTTAAAGGACTTATGGTTGTTTTATTTACATAGTCTGGACCAGATGAAAGAAGCATTCCTGGCAATACTATTGCTGTCCAAGCAGATATGCCATTTTCAGGCCTTACAACTTATGGCTCAGCATTTTTATCCAAATTTGAGTGTTCTCAAATGCCTCATCCTGTAAGTTTTTCTGCATCAAATTAAAACAAAATTAAGAGATTTTCTCTTTAAAACACGTGAAACTTACCTACTTTTTAAATCATTTTTTCGAAGCTATTGGATCACATTACATTTGTTGATAGCCCTGGAGTTTTATCTGGAGAAAAGCAAAGGACACAAAGACAATATGATTTTACAGGTGTAACATCTTGGTTTGCCGCTAAATGTGATTTAATACTTCTTCTATTTGATCCTCACAAACTTGATGTTAGTGATGAGTTCAAACGTGTGATATCATCCCTTAAGGGACATGATGACAAAATTCGAGTGGTTTTGAACAAGGCAGACCAAGTTGACACTCAACAAGTAAAGACTTACGTTACTCATTATTTGTTCTTGACAAATTTATTGTAACATTCTTAAACAAAAACCCTAACTTGTATATCTGTGTAATCTAATGTTGCAGTTAATGAGAATATATGGTGCATTGATGTGGTCACTTGGGAAAGTGTTAAATGTTCCCGAAGTCATGCGAGTATATATTGGGTACACTACTTACATTAGTTGTATGCGTATGATTGTCAATCTTAAAAAAATTGTCTCTAACAAGAAGAATTGATTTCTATTTGCTTTTTTTTTTTGCATTTACATTTTTTGAGTTTAGTTTTTGGCATATCATGAAGTTTTATTATTTATGCTAATTAGAAGGACTTTTTCTTTTGATTTTACTATACATTGTACACATTTTTGTGTAATTTAGATATGATTTCATTTTCTTTGCCTTGGTTATTATATGGGATTGTCTTTTTTTTATATTAATTTTATTTTGGCAGCTCCTTCAACGACAAGTCTATAAATGATTCTGTTAGTGGTCCACTTGGTAATGAGCTCTTCCAAAAAGAACAAGAGGACCTTCTTTCAGATTTGAAAGATATACCAAAAAAAGCTTGTGATCGTAAAGTAAGCTTTTAATTACATTATTTTTTTATCATATATAATTTATTGTTTCAACTAAATTATGATTACTTGTGCTTTAATATTCATATATTCTAGCAAAACTTTTCATTGAGAACTATTTTGAAGTTTATCATTTAAAATTAAAAATTAATTTGATGAAAATATAAACACAAGGAATCATTTTTTATATTTGAGAGTGTGAAGTTTTTTTTACAAACTTTATTTTTAATGTATTTGAAGGAAATATTATTTTGGCATAAAACTAACATTCTTAGCAGTACTAATGTCATATCATGCATACAAAAGTTTCATACAATATAATCTTACTTTTTGTTTTGTTATTAATTTTATAACTGTTATCATAGGCTATTATATGATCTCTTGAATTTTAGTATCAAGTTAATAATTAATTATGTTTTATTTATTAAAGTTATTTCTTTTCATAATTAAGATATCATCTATTTACATTGTAGATCAATGAATTCGTAAAACGAGCCCGAGCTGCAAGGATACATGCTTATATCATCAGTCATCTTAAAAAGCAAATGCCTGCTATGATAGGCAAAGCTAAAGCTCAACAACGACTCATAGATAATTTAGATGCTGAGTTCGTAAAGGTATGACTTTTGACTCTATATTCTTTCAATCACATGCATTTATATTTGTATAAACTATGATAATGCTAGAAAATCAAAATGCTTATGTGTAATTCAAATTTGAAACAGGTACAAAAAGAGTATCATCTACCACCTGGTGACTTCCCAAATGTTGAACATTTTAAGGAGATCTTGAGTGGTTACAACATTGACAAGTTTGAGAAATTGAACAAAAAAATGATACAAACAGTGGATGACATGCTTGCTTACGATATTCCTAACCTTTTGAAGACATTTAGAAATCCATATGGTTAAGTTCACAAGCAACTTTTGAAAGGAGAAATGATTCAAAAAAATGTGCATGCCAATGAGATCTTGTGTATGTATATTATTATAAATATGCTTCACCACTTAAAAAAATGCAATGGCTCATCGATGTGGCTCTACTTGATTAGATGAAAGTCTGTAAAACATGTTATAATTTGGTACATTTTAATGAGTAGAAGGGAATTTTGTTGTTCAATGATGGTGTATTTTTCACTCTTTAGCAATTAAATGTAAAAATTTTAAAATGAAAGAAAAAGTAAAAAAAATATAGTTGTTTTCCTCATAGAAGTTTTGTGTTGCCTGTAGCTAAGTATAATGTAATACATAACCTAGCTATTTACAATTTAGCAAATCTTGTTAGCAATGATGATGCATAAAGAAATAGGGAATGAGGATTGTAAAATTACTTTTATCTTTGTCATTTCTTTCTTATTGTAAAATGTTTCCTTTAGACTTGGATTGGTTAATAGGTAAAGTGTAATTGATTGAATGAATTAGCATAGGATTTACTACATTGATATAAAAAAAAAATAATCACAAGTGATAAGTTGATTTTCAAAATTAAAATAAGTCAAGTACAACATAAGGATGAAAATAGAAGAGTATTTAAAATAGGGTAATCAATTACTATATTTATGTAATTTATTACATAGGGAAAAAATGTTTTACTAGATAAACCAACCGTTATGTTTTAATTGATTACAAAAATCTGGAATCGCTTACTTTTTATTATATTTTCAAATATTTTAATCAATTACAAAGACTTTCTTCATTTTGGAAAAATAATGTTCTTCCTATGTTATTTGATTACGAGGAAATTGCTTTCAATTACAAAGACTTGATAGGTTATATAAAAATATGAGGTCTCATGTTTTAATTGATCACAAAAAAATCAATTGATTACACGGTGTGTTTGTGAAAATATGACATCTTGTTTTAATTGATTACAAGAAATGTATAATCTATTACAACTATTGTTTCTACTAGTCTAAAAGAATTAAAAACTCGTAGTAATCAATTATCATATAGATATAATCGTTTACCATATAGATGTAATCAATTACATGTTGTCATGAAAATTTTGTTATAAATACTTTTGAACCTCTCATTTGTAAAACAAGTCAAAAATTATTTTTCAAAGTTTTAGATATCTGAAAAAGAGTATTTTCGTGACATCACAATAAACCATCTACCTTAGGAAAATAAAATTTTTCAAAGAAGATTAAGATCTCAAGGTAAAAGAGCAACGCAAGTTGGAACATTTGCATTTTTCTAGTGTTTTCTTTTTCATTCCTTTGGTGTAAAAGGTGTATGGAACATCCATGGAAAGTTTGAAGCACTTGCAAAATTTTGTTGGTGTGACCAAGAAGCAAGTTCAAAGTCTACTAATGGGGTTTTAGTAGCATTTTCTTGAATAGTCTTGTTCCGAACTGGAACCATTGTAAGAGATATTCAAGATTTATAGAATCTTAGTGGTTAGTTGGGAAATTGGATGCGATTCTTAGTGGTAGATAGTGAATCAATATAAAATCATTGTCTCTTATCTCTTTAGATACCTTATTTATTACTATGATATTGCTTCCCACATTTAAGATTAGTAAATAATAGATATTTGATTGTTGTTTATGACATGTTAGATCAATAAAGTCTAAAAAGATTCATTATGGTCTTCATTAGAAGTTTTTAAAGATCCATTGGACAAATTTTTTTTGTACTAAGTTAATTCACTCCCATCTAGATTTTGTTATCTATGTCAACAAATCTTACTTAGAAAAAATGTAATGGCATCTTAAGTCATTTTTTTTTGCTTTAATATCACCCAAAGAAACATTTGATCAATCACATTTAAGCCTAAACTGGTTTCAAAAATTTCAAAAATTATAATTAATTAATTATTACTTATTAATTATTCAAGATAAACATATTTTAAATCCCATTTCTAATTCTCAAGTTATCTTACTTTATCAAATCCTATTTTTTCAAATAATTCAATTACAAAAATCACATTTTAAAAAATATAATGAGTTATCTAGTTGAACTATATTACAAATATATTATCTCTTATTTTAATAAATTCAACATAATACTACATATAAACCTATAAGAATCTTGACAAACCACCTCCAATTGATTTTGAAAAAGTAGTGCTTGGAATCTATCTAGGCATGGTGCCTTGAAGCTTCCTAAATACTTGATCGTTTGATAAGTTTCCACATATGAAACCTACCTATCCAAATCATGATATCATCATCATCTAACACAGGATAGACATTAGACAAACAAAATCTCAAATGATTCTCTTCCTCAAAATAAAGCTTTTTATAGAAGTTAGTAACTAGCTCCTCCAACTTTTGGTGATCAAATACCTATATACCTTCCTCATTCTATAAGAGATCATATTTATTTTTCGTCTATTGAAATAGTTGTAAGAGTATGGATGTTTTTTGTATTTCAATCGCCCAAAAACCATCTATTTGGAACGGGGCTTTGGTACATTAATTCTTCTTACGCAAGTATCTTTCTGTACTCTTCTTGCACCCTTTTATAATTAGCATGGCACTTGAGAAGGGATACAAACTCCTTTGACGATCCAATAATTCCAACCTACACATCAAGGTTCTCTTCTTTTTTTAATGCATCCAAATGAAAATATTTAGAAAGTTTTTTTTTATTTGTATGATTATCTTCTTCATTATAGTTTGTGCATGAGTCTACGTTAGTATACATAAGTATGCATGAGTTGTACCTTAATTAGTTTTTTATTTTTTACTTTAAACTCTAAATTTTAATAATCATAGAGTATATTTTTTATCATGCAAATTAAAAAAGATTCATCATGCAAATTAAACAAAGACTCGTAATATATTTAAAAATATAATGGTTGACTTATTTAAAATTAAATTTATTGACTTATTTAACATTGTCAATGCAAAATAGACTTTTAAATAAACTAATTGCAAAGTAGGTTTTTAAATATGCTAGTAGGTCATGCCAAGCTTTAAAAAGGTCAAGCTTGACCTATTCCCACCCCTATCCACCACCTAACATGTCCAAACATCTACACCACAACAAGCCCTACCAACACCATTAAGCCAAACACAAACCCAAACACCTACCTTCCCACCAAAAACAGAAAATAAAAATCATTCAATCTCACTAAACACCATATTCCATCACTATACATGACTCATCATCAGACTCTAATGGTAAGCCTATTTCATTTTATCTTTCACAACCATAAACCACTTTTTCTTATCCACCTAGACTGACCTTAGAAGCTCCCTAACCTCCAAAATCCAAAAGACCTTGTCTAGTGCATGGGCTCCCTATGCCCAAGATGAAGCTTCACGAGGACCAAGGTTTGAAATATGCAAAGCGTCTCTCATAGCAAGAAGAGAAACAAATGCAACTGAAGAGGGCCAAGATGGTCATTAAGGAAGAATGACTCTTGTAAGAAGCACTTTAAGCATCTATTGTTGAAGCTACTAAAAAGCAACAAGAACCGGAGCTGGAATAAATGTTGGGAGACTTGCCAATGGAGGGCCACAAAACTGTTTTTGTGCGTAAGGCATTCTCTAAGGTGACATACGACATGCAACATCCTAGGACAATGAAGAAAGCTCAACATCCTCTCACCATAAAGGCTTTTGTAGCCATGTATTCTTCCTCCCTTCTTCCTTTAACTCTACGATCATTACATACCAGAGCATTTATTGTTGCTAAAAATGTTTCTGGAGTTCCTTCAACACCCTTCAAGCCCAAGAAATCTCACCAGCACCATCTACATCGTCTGTTGAAACTATCATTCCATATGTAGAATAATTTGTTGAATGAACAGGTATTGAAGAAGTCTCGCTAATTGAAGAAGAGACTGTTGGAACAACCAATGCCATTGCACCACTCTCTACTATTCTAGTGCAATTGAGGTTGAACTACTAAATATGGTCATATCATTGGTAGAGTTAGACCTAAGAAGTCTGGTAGACTATGCCTAGATGATTCCACATAGCAAGGCCCATGAAGCAACATGTTTTGCCTTTGTAGATATGGAGCATTTGATAGAGGAGATTACATATGAGGATAATAGTCCAAACTTCATCCTTGTAAGCGATGCTCCTCGAAGATCATCTTACTACAACATAGAGGAGTACTTATAGCTCTGCCATAAAGAAGGGTGTATGGTTGCTTTCTATCCTCGCATTGAAGAAGTGTTAGAGATCTAGCCCTTTGATATGACTGGTTCACATTGTCCAAATGACCAAACCATGGAGATATTTAAACAACTCAACTTTAAGCATGAAGAAACTTGTCAAACATAGGTCACCATGGAACTAGGTTTGAAGGTACATCTTACAACCTTTCCATCATGTTTGGTACACCTAAAAGACTATGTCAAATTGAGCCTGGACCAAATTCTTTCAAGTCAAGTCAAGACTCAAGGATGTGTAGCATTTCATTTGCAAAGGGAAAGAAAAACATGCCATACATGTCAAGTACATAAGGTATTTGAGTTATGTTAGAGCTCATCAGTCTAGAGCCTTTAGAGTTAACAAAGATTACCCATCATCACCATGGGACGTGACGTTCTTCAATCTCCAATACATTTATCTACCAAGTCTTCTGCTCACAATGCTCTCTACCAACCATGCTGCCATTATGTTTATTCATATCTTTTTTATTTTCATTTTATTATTATTTATAAATATGTGTTTCATGTATACATATATTGCCCCTACCTTTTCTCATGTTGCATCTCCCTCTACTACATAGGAAGAGCAAGTGTCACCACTTTCTTTTGTTGAAATCTCTAAAGTGCTAGAGATAGTCTTGAAACTGAACATATTGGGCACTAAACTAGTCACAACACTCCAACAATCTATTTTTCAACAACATCACTCTAACGGGAAATATTAAAAGTTGCTTAACAAACTCTATCTGGAAGTTAGCTTTAATGATGAGTCATCCCTGGACTAGTGGCTCTGATATGTTACTTTGGTCGCAACTTTTTCTAGTACTAAAATGGGGAGTAGTATTCAGTTTTTGAACTTATATATTTTATTTATGCTCCATCTCAAGGGGATTATACAAAACACTTGAATTATTTTTTTTTTCTCTGATAATTTTTGAAGCTATGCCCTGATATTTATTTATGCTCTAATAATTTTACTCTACTCATGCTTTAACAATTTTTTTCCTTGA